CTCCTGGTGCCAAACACAGGGGCAGTTCTACATTCTTTGAGGTTAAAGTGAAGCTCAGGTGAGAACTGGAACTCTCCCACTCGGCAGGAGAAGGAAGATTTGAGAATTGTCATTATACATAATATCAACACTACTTCATCTGTCATCCTCTCCTTAGATACACGACGTATTTCACAATAAGTGGAAAATGCCAACAGAAAATAACACTCCTACACCTACTGCTAGAATGCTAAACTCTTATCAGAAGCACAAATGAGGAAAAAACAACCAACACTTAAATGACCCTCTGTGCAAACCATCACTTGCAACTTCCACATATTTCTCCATCTGTTGAGCTCCCCAGCTCAACTATTTAAACAAGCTAAGTTTCCAAACAGTCACTGTGAACCTCAGAAGACATCATCCCCAATTTGGGAAGCGATGGAGAACTGACATCTCAATCAAGACCTCATGACCACACCGTGGTCAGGAAAGGTTCTCCAGGGTCCTGAGTCAGCAAGGTGCTTAAGCACATTCATTGGGAATGGACAGAACGTGTTTTGCCAAACGAGTCAGGAGATCACAAGTACTGGTTTATTCTCTCAGCAATCTCAGACAGGTGGACACTGGACCTGTAATTTTACTGGTAACGGTGGTAAACTGAGATAGAAACAATTTCCCCAATTAGTACTAACAACAGACTAAGGAATAGTGCAGCTTAATGCCATCTGCATGAATACTTCATGGGTAAAACACAAGTGCACAGCAATTTTAACCACAAGACACACACTATATTCTAGCCATTGCAATTTAGGCTGATCTGGCCAAAGCACCTTAGCCTTGCTCTGCAGCCTATCCACTATTTCAGTGGGAACATCTCCTGTTAATCACACTGAGCAGGAAGGTGTTGTAAATGAGGACAGATGCCTTCTGTCACCAAAGCTGAGGCTACCAAATTAATTTAAGTTATGGCTTACAGTGAGCATGAACCAAGCTGAACTCTCCAGGGAGAAAAGGTCAGTGCTCTGCTGGCTGCTCATGCCTCTTAACTCACTGCTTCTGACAAGCAAGCGGAGACAGGCAGAATGAAGGCACCAACATGGAATGCTGCTGTTCCACCTGCAGGACACTGTGTGTGTACCACCTTGAGGGGAACAGAGCTTGTCGAGATGGAAGCTCTGAAATCACTTTTTTCAAATTATTCTCCGAGCATTCTTAGGTTGTTTTGTTTTTTAAGGCTGATATGCTTTGAGAGAACAGAGGCCCCTTCAAACAAAATCAGACGCAGTGGAAGCAAAGTGATGACGAGGCTGCATTCCGATCTGATCTCAGTTTCTCCATAGAATCAAGGCTGGTTCCACCACCACCCATTTTAATTTAAGGAAGTGCTGAAGGAGCAAACTGCTGCTGCCTGTACCCATAGCAACTTCCATACAAGCACTGTGGTGACTATGCTTGGCAAATAGAGGAAGTTTTTGCACTAAACCTCTGCAGATGTCTAACGTATGAAAACTGCAACTTAGAACATATTCTTATTCCTGCAGATTTCTTCGTCACCACGTTCCCCTGACGTGCCAAAAATAGGGCCAGCAAAGCACAAAAACATCACTTTGTGCTCAGTGCTCTCTTCTGTAAGAGCACAAACACCAAAAGAATGGGAAGCTTTAAAACCATGACACTTAAGCAACGGCAACGATGCCAAGCATTTCACCTACCTGCTCACATACCGACTGGGATCTAAAAACCAACCTTCCCTTTTTGAAACTTACCTCCTCTTGAAACTTCTTCAGCTGCTGCTCGTATTCCCTAACCAAGTCCTGTTTGGCTGTTTCCATGTCTTCCAGCTGCTGCCGTAACTTGCCAACCTGAACCAAGAATTAAAAAGCAGATGAACAGAACGCAGACAGATTTCACTGGCTGTAAAATAGAGGGATTAGTCTTCATTTCATAAGTATACACAGTAGTGGAAGTGGTAAATGAATGTTAAGAGGTCCCAGTTTCCCAAGCTGGGGTCAGTCCTTTTGAAACAAATTTAGCTCATGTCCACATCTCTGGTTGGCTGGGATGAGAACTGCCTCAGTTCTGGCCTCGTGTTTTCAACCAGTGCCTGATTTCCACTTGTTGAGATGAAGCTGACACTTTTGCCTTGCGCCAAGAGGTTGCTTTTCTTTGTCATTTTCATCAAAATGTTTATTATAAACATCCATTATGATTTCAAACTACCTACCAGGAGAAGAGATGGCCATGTCATTCTCTTACCACAGTTAGATGAAGCAGAGATTCCAAATAACGCATGGACAAAGAAAGAAACAGTGCTTTGAAATTCTTGGGAAAGACTTCCCTTCTCTTGATCCAAATCCTCTTATTCCCCTTCTTTTTTCTCCTCACCCTTTTCCCTTTTCCCATCCACGACCCAAAGCAGTCACCTTTCTAACTGCAGGTCCAGAACACAGTGAGCCAATAAACAGGCAGCACAGTAAAGTCAGAAGAAATCATCAGTGAAAATTCATATGAATAAACCAAGAGTATGAATATACTGCAGCATTGCTTTTAACCATAATGCACAATTTTGAAATCAGCGCTCACTTCTGGTGGTAAAATGTACCACGGGAGGCTCCTGCCTTACTTAGCACAGCTATTTGCTGATCTTAACTCTTTGCTTCGGCTTGACATTTAAGCAAACACAAAGAGGAGGACATTTTTCACACAGGGTGGTGAGGCACTGGAACAGGTTGCCCAAGGAGGCTGTGGATGCCCCATCCCTGCAGGCATTCAAGGCCAGGCTGGATGTGGCTCTGGGCAGCCTGGGCTGCTGGTTGGTGACCTGCACACAGCAGGGGGTTGGAAAATGATGATCATTGTGGGCCTTTGCAACCCAGGCCATTCTATGATTCTATGAAACAGCAAAAAAAAAAACTAACTCAAAACTGATGAAATAGTCAGCAAACACTGAAGTTCACGTGCAACCTTTCTGTACCTCTTTATGCTTTTCCTCCAGCGCAGCCCTGGCAGAGGAAAGTTCCTGCTCTCGAACACCCAAGCAAGCTTCCAGAGCCTGGGTCTGTCCCTCCCATTCCGCCTTCTTGTGAGCCACCATGATGTCAATCTGCTTCATCAGCTCCTGCAGCTCAGCTTCACAGGACGTCAGGAACCCACTGCGGAAGGGAGCGAGCTTCAGGTCACAAAGAGGAGCACAGAGGTCCTGCATCCCCACACCAGCGATGCCAGTGATTGGTGTGGAACATCACCGGGCAGAGATCTAAACTTGGCAGTGACCAACGGGGCATGCTTTGGAAACCACAGTCAGAAGAAATGGCCCCCACGCTTTCACATGTAGTGTGTTTTGTCTTCTAATGTCACAGCAAGCCCCCATGACCACTGGTCCCTTTGCCTTGCATTACCTAAGTAAACCACAACGCGTTCTGCCCATATTTTGCATTGCCCCTAATTGCTCTCCAGGCACGGGCATTTTATACCCACTTTCAGTCATCAGAGAAACCTCCCAGCTCCTGAAAACAAAGGTGTATCACAAATGCAGACAAACCCCTAAGTGGAGGGGGTTGGATGACAACATGATAATGAAGAATAAAACATCCTCGATCCATTGGGGAGAGCACGCTCCCTCGCGATGCTGCAGCTTCTAATTTGGTGCAGTAATTATTGAAGCCAATTCAACCAACTCCTGTAAAACTTCACAAGTGCTAAGCTAGGGACAATATTAAGGCTTGCAAGATACAGCCCTGGAGGGCTGTGAACTCCATGATGATCTTCACCCCTTTAATTTGACTGTCAAATGGAAGGCTCTGGAAAGGAGTGGAAATCAATAGGTTAAGGGATTGAAATTTCTCTGTTCCCCCAGAGCATACGCAGACTTCACAAGCTGACAGTTTTTCTATAGGGAAAGAAGTAGCTCTTACAGCAGCCAAAATCAGTTAAATTGGAAGTTCACCCTGGCCTGCGAGTTAACCAAAAATTAGCAGCTATTATGCACAGCAAGAACATTTCCTTCTCAGCATCTGCTGATACACAGCTATGTCTAGACTGCATTTATGCAGCCAGTTAGCTGTAGAAGATGCAGCACTGAGTCACATTCTCAAAGATAACGATGAAAATGGTGTCAGTGTCTTCGGTTTCGTGTATAAATAAAGCATTGTTATTCCATTACTGGCACTGCAGCCTCTCTCTGGGATCTCCAAGTCCAGAGGCCTTCACCTAAGGGCCACAGGGATAAATGGGTGTCTGCAGCTCCAGCACAAGCAGGAAGCAACCAGGCGCTCTCAATACAAACACGTCTCATTAACCTCACTGGGCTCTTAAGAATAGTATTTATTCACACTGCTACTTAGCGTCATTCCTGATGCTACAAGGCAAGAGGGGGAAAATAAATGGGTAATGTTTTTAGAGAGGCGAAACACGGAGATGCTAACACTACAGGCTGCAAGGCGGCGAGGGATCGCTGCAACGTGCTGAAGCAGCCACGGCGCTGCGGCCACTGCGTGCTGCACCGCCTGCCTGCAGGAGGTACCAGATGAACACCAAGGGCCTCACTGACACCAGGAAGCTTGGCTGAAGGGTGGCTCGCGTAGAGCATAAGAAGGAAGCCCTACAGGGAGAGCGTTGTAAAGGACTGGCACGCACTCGTGCATACGTACCTCCCCTGGCCATTCCTCTGCATTCCCGCCAGCAGAGCCTCCATCCCCCAGCGCCGGTGGGTTCAGCAGCGGGGAAAGCACGCAAAGCAGCGGTCACCACCGCATCCGCGGGCAGCGGGAGGGGAAAGGTGGGGAAAACGCACAACGCCACGAGAAGCGGGCAGAGGCACGAAGTGACGGGGCAGACAAATGCTTGGTTGCTACAAGAAGGTTCTGCGCCGGGGGCACCGGGCACACGGGGCACACCGGGCACACCGGGGGCACCGCGCCCGCTCGCAGAGCGCTGCCGACCGGGGCGGGGAGGGCACGGCGGCGGCCGGTGATGACGGTGGCGGCGGGCGCCGGAACACCGCGGCGGGATGGGGCGGAGCGCTGCTGGCCGCTCCGAGAGCGTTGGGCCGCCCGAAGCGCTGCGCGTCCCCGCGAGCCGGGGGGTTGGGAGGGGTACGGAGCTGCCTCGGAGGGAGAGGATGGACAGCGAGGTGCAGAGGGACGGCCGCATCCTGGACCTGATCGATGACGCGTGGCGGGAGGACAAACTGCCGTACGAGGACGTGGCCATCCCGCTGGTAGGTGCGTGGCGGTACGAGTCCTCCCAGCACATAACGGCTGGGCTGTCCCGAAGCTGCTGGGGTCACAGAATCACAGAATGGCCTGGGTTGAAAAAGACCTCAGTGCTCATCCAGTTCCAACCCCCTGCTGTGTGTCCAGCAGCCCAGGCTGCCCAGAGCCACATCCAGCCTGGCCTTGAATGCCTGCAGGGATGGGGCATCCACAGCCTCCTTGGGCAACCTGTTCCAGTGCCTCACCACCCTCTGGCTGAAAAACTTCCTCCTGATATCCAACCTAAACCTCCCCTGTCTCAGTTTAAAACCATTCCCCCTTGTCCCATCACTGTCCACCCTCACAAGCAGCCATTCCCCCTCCTGTTCTTATGCTTCATTCAAATACTGGAAGGCCACAATGAGGTCTCCCTGCAGCCTTCTCTTCTCCAAGCTAAACAAGCCCAGTTCCCTCAACCTTTCCTCATAGGGAGGTGCTCCAGCCCTCTGCTCATCTCAGTGCCCTCCTCTGGACCCCTCCAAGAGCTCCACGTCCTTCATGAGCCAGCAGTGTGCTCTTGCAGCTTGGAAAGCAAATGGTAGCCTGGGCTCCATCAGAAGAGGGGTGGCCAGCAGGGGCAGGGAGATGGTTGTACCCCTCTACTCAGCTCTTGTGAGGCCCCAGCTGCAGTACTGCATCCAGGTCTGGAGCCCCCAGTACAAGAAAGACAGGGAGCTGTTGGAGAGGGTCCAGAGGAGAGCCACGAAGATGATCAGGGGGCTGCAGTACCTCCTCTATGAAGACAGGCTGAGGGAGCTGGGCTTGTTCAGCCTGGAGAAAAGAAGGCTGCGGGGTGACCTCATTGCAGCCTTCCAGTACCTAAAGGGAGCCTACAAACAGGAGGGGAATCAACTCTTTGAAAGGGTAGATAACTGCAGGACAAGGGGAAATGGTTTTAAGTTGAGGGAGGGAAGATTTAAGTTGGATGTCACGGGGAAGTTCTTTACAGAGAGAGGGGTGAGGTGTTGGAACAGCTGCCCAGAGAGGATGTGGATGCCTCATCCATCCCTGGAGGTGCTCAAGGCCAGGTTGGATGGGGCCCTGAGCAGCCTAGTCTAGTGTTAAATAGGGAGGTTGGCAGCCCTGCATGAGGCAGGGGAGTTGGAGATTCATGATCCTTGAGGTCCCTTCTAACCCTGGACATTCTGTGATTCTGTGATTCCTGTACTGGGGCCCCAGGCCTGGACGCAGTACTGCAGATAGGGCCTCAAAAGAGCTGAGTAGACGGGGACAATCACCTCCCTCTCCCTGCTGGCCACTCCTTTTTAACGCAGCCCAGGATATAGTTGGCATATTTGTCTTCCTAATCACTTTTCCAAATGCATCTTTGCAGTTGTCACTTCAAGGACAGCAGTAAACACACTGCTCTCTGCAGGTAGGATTCCCTGCCTGTGAACCCTTTGCCATGAAGAGACATGGCAGCCATAGAATCATTGAATTTCTCAGCTTGGAAAAGACCTTAAAGATCATCAAATCCAACCACAACCAAACCATCCTACCATTGCACAGCTGTACCACTGCTAGGCCCCACCTCAGCCATTTGGGAGCACTCCCTGGATACGGATGTATGTGAGGATCCTCCCCTTGTCTGTTAGCACAGGCGTAATTTGGCTAGCACCAACGAAGTAGTCATGCCAAAATCATGGCATCTGATAAGCTGATGGTTTCTACCAGCAAAGAGACACTTCCAAATTGCCAGTGACATCACTTGGGCTTTAGTCCTTACATCACAGTGTGTCATCGCTCTTGGAAGAAGTGCAGCTCGGGACCTTCTCAGCAAAGGAGGCGAGGAGCAGCTACTCTCCTCCAAAATCGATAATACACAGCAATTCCTGCCAAGAGGGAAAGGTTTTGCAGAACTGTAGTTCTCAGGGAGGAGTACCCAACCCCTCCTTTGCTTAGGATAATGCGTTTTTGAGGCAGGCTATGTATCACAAACTGCTTCTTTGCTGATATTTGCCATCACCATGTGTCCAGGTTGAGAAACATTATGGCAGCCTCAAAGCAGGAAGCCTCATCAATTGACAATAAAAACAAAGGTGTAGTTGTGGATATGCAGATCCCCGGGGATGGGACTGGCTCTGATCATATGGAGAAGCCAGCACAAATTCAAGGAGATTTGATCAGAAGCTCTGTGAAGGAGCTGTCAGAATGGCTGTAACGTGAGAGCCTATCCTGGGCATCTGATCAGTGCTCACTGCAGAGACCTCCATCAGCTGGCATGGCCCAAAGTCATTTGCTTTTCTCTGAAGGGATTTTATGTGGCTCTTACTGAGATTTCCGAAGATCCAGACTCAGAGTTCTTGCCCCGTGTCTTCTGGAATAACACACTTTGTGACTGCACCGATGCAGCAACACAGGGAACAAATAACGTAAGGAAGTAAAATGAAATCACATTTAAACTCTCCTTCCTCCTCCCTGCATGCTGAGCATGGTGTTGCACTTGGTGGGGGTTTCTGACATCTCCTGTTGTCACAGCGCAGCCACACCAGAGTTCCACGTGTAGGAAGAGGAAGGATTTCTCACCTTGCCGTAAGAAAGGGATATGTTACAAAGCCAGCTGTCTCAATACAGCTACAGTAAATGCAATATCTGTATTCTGGGCAGCGACAAAGAAACACAATCCAAACAAGCAGTGGAATAATTGCACCATGCTATTATTTACTTATTTTGCATTTTCTATATATTCTCCTTCACTGCGTGTGCAGTCTGAGTACATAGCAAGGCCCCAGGGCCCTGGAAAGCCAATTTACCTTTCAGATGAAGCATCATAATCATATGAAAAGAACATTGTTCCTCACTGGGCTTAGTAATATTTTAACTGAATCAGTATGTATGATATGTATTGTTCAGATGCCCCCTCTGGTCTCATTTGTGGATTTTTGTATTTATTCATATGAAGTCTTCGTCACCTGCTCCATTTAGGAAGCTTGTTATGCACAGAATGCTTTGTACCTTTTTTTGTTGTTCTCAGAATGAGCTCCCTGAACCAGAGCAAGACAATGGAGGTACAACGGAGTCTGTGAAAGAGCAAGAAATGAAGTGGACAGATTTGTCTCTGCAGTATCTCCATGAAAACGTCCCTCCCACGGGAAACTAATGAATCCAGGGGACTTCATGTAAAATTATATCTTCTGTTAACTTATTCTTTAGTTGGTGCCAATTCTGCTCTTAAATGTTTTCTACACGTGATAAAAATGTACTTTTGACTGTCTGGAGTTGTTCTTGCATTTCAAAACTCGGGATGGGACGTTTGTGATCACGGAGGTTTTATGTCCCAAGAAATAAAACTGTGTTTTGTGTTAGAGTTTGCTATGCAAAACCCAGATAACCACAGGTCAGTGGTGGCACTGGACATTGCCAGTGCTGACCTCTGTATATTTTCCAGTACACATTGTTTAAACAGTGCCATTTGTGCTAAGATGATTGTTACTCAAAATCACTGTCTTTTGGCTGAGGGAAAAGCCAGCCCAGTGAGTGACAACAGCTGCTCAGATGAGCTGTCTCAGAGGGAAACAGCCAGCTAAGTGAAGTGATGGGGAGAAGAAACGAGGGGAGCTTAGCTTCAGGCAACAAAAATGTTACCTCTTCTTATGCTGAGAAGAAAGGCAAGGCCCTCTTTATTTCTTTACCTCATTTTATCTCTGATTCTCAAACATCTTTTGCAATAGGTAAAAGCCTTCTGTTCATCTTGCGTGTTTCCCTCTTGGACTGATTCCTTCACACCGTTGGCAGAACTCGCTAAGGAGAAAATATTTTGACAGTTTAGGACTACTGGTAGAGGTGAGAAAGAATCTGGAAGGAAAACAATATTTCAGAGTATTTTCTATTGCCAGCGTATCAGAAAATAAAGCCATTTTTCTGGAGCCCACAGCTTCCAGATTCCGCAGAAATCTTTTGGGTATCTTTTCACAACGTTTATCCCCTTCAAAATCAACAAAACCCAACGTTGACCTGTGTGAGTAGCACGTGGAGCATGTCAGGTGTCCTGTGAGGCTGTGAGTGCTGAGCTGCAGGAGGATGCTCAGTTTGAGGAAAAAACTGGGGCTGCTCCTGCCTGAGGAGTTAGCAGTGCCTGCACTGAGGCAGCACTTACTCAACTGAACAAGAAGGAGTTGCAGGCAGCCAGCAGGCTGTTCAGGATTAACCCAAGCTTCATATGTATACAGACCAAAGGAACAGCTACGGCGCTGGGAACTGTAAAAGTTCAGCTCCTCTCTGCATCTCACCAGGGGCAAAACAGAGCTTGGGCTTAATGAGGTATTTCTGATCCTCCCCATGTTCCTCTCCCTGTAAAGAAAACACTAGAAGCTGCATGGTGGCTTTGTCTATCTAGCAGCCGTCTCTGTTCTCTCTTCCCCTCCCCTCTCTCACTCCATCACAAACTCCATCCCCATCGCACCAATTTTGCCACGAGATTTTCCAGCTCTGATTTCAGGCTTCCTTTCCCAGCCATGACAGTTGTCCCTGCATCTGCAAATCTTCTTACTGTCCAGCAGGGAAAAAAAAAAAGCTTTTCTCACTTGAATTGGATTCACAAGGTTCCAGCAGGGCTATAAGAAAACATGGTGGGGATACCAGATATATGAACGCTATCCAAAACAGCAGCTTCTTGGCAGCACGTATTGAGTTGAGCTGGGACCTTCCCTTTGTCAGGATGGAGTGGCGCCCATCCACAGCCTGCCTGAGGCTGCAGGATGGTTACAAGGGGGTGAAAAGAGATGCTGGGCTTCCACCTGCTGGAGACAGCTGGAGCGTGGGAGAGCCAGAGGGACACGGATGGGAGCGTCCCAATGCTACGACGTGGGGTCCTGGGAAGCTGAGTGCTGGCCCTGCCCAGATGCCTATCAGCTTTGCACACCTACGTTCTCCACTGCCTTTTGACACTCTTTGCAGAAGATGAACAGGCACGCAGCGATTTCAACACAGGCAGTCAGACCGCTGCTCACAGCGTGATACTGAGCCATTTCTGTCTTTCATTAGTCACAGCCCAGGGCGAACGATATTTAAAACAAGGGATCCTGCTACAAGAGAAGATGCCCCACCTTTTGAGAAAGAAGGGCCAGTTGTATAACTTCACACCCGTCTTCATTTCTTGGCTGGGAACTTCCTCCTTTCACCACACCTACATGGCTGGCAGAAAAAGAGAGCAAACAGCTGTCAGACACAGCAAGTACATGCCAAAGAAACCACAGGACCCGTAAGATTTTCTACCTGTAGAAGTTCCATGCAGGAGCCCATATGCTGAGGCTGTGTGTCACGTTCTTCTGCCTTTTGTATGGGGTGAAAACAGGTAGGAAGTCGATCGTTTTAATTCTTTTGTTCAGTATAACGCTTACTCTGCTTTGGAGGAGCAGAGAGAGAGCCTATCTGCCCTCTGCATTATAAGGTTACTGTGTAGGATTTTTAACTAGCATTAGTTGTCTTAAAGCAAACTGTCTTGGTTTCGTGAACTGAAGAATTCCAAACATAAAGCCAGAAGTCATTTGTATGATCTCTTCTTCACTTTGCAAACATTTCTCTTATACAAGCACCATCAAACTCAACCATCGACACTCAAAACGTCGTCTGAAATCTCCAGAGAAGAATGATTTCTTTTCAGCAGCGCATTACATGACAGCCACAGAGGATGAATTAGCATTTATGAACGCTGAACTTCACTTGGTATCCTCGTGGCCCCATCAAGAATCAACCTGTTTAATAATCCACAAATGTGCTGCCTTCTGTTAGCGCACACACGGGAGCACGTCGCCTGCTTTGTGAAGCTGCAGCTCCACGCTTTGCAGGGAAAGCAAACAGGATTTAGGACAACCTAAAGTGTTCCCAAAAAGGCAGATGGTTCATCGGGTTCCTGGGGCAGTCTTGGAGGTCTCGTTTTGCTTATTGTGATGAATACATAGTAGAGATACTAAAGGCCATTTTATGAGGTGGAGGGCAGACCCTTCGTGTGGAAAGCATGGGAACGCTCAGTAATGCTGCTAAGGTTTGCTGTGTGGCAGTGCTCGAAGCTGGCCACTTTAGTGGTGATGTGTAAGGGTCTCTTGAAACAAAAGGCACATCCCAGGCAAGGTAATGGTGCTTTGGAAGCCAGGGATGCTGCAGGCTGCCATGGGAGCAGCAGCACGCTGGTTGGAGGTCTGCAGAAGCTGCTAAGCGGGGAGCAGTCTCTTGGTGGGCTCTGTGAGGCAGTGTGGTCTCCCAAAGCTCACAGTTAGGACAGCCACAGATGTGACAGAAGCGGCACAGATGAAGTGATGATGAGGAGAAACCTTTTGGACCTTCCCTTTGCAAGAGGCCAAACTGGCGGAGTTAAAAAACGGAGATGCCATTCTTCCTGTGCAGAAAGCCTCAAAGATGAGAACCTTCCTGTCCATAGGCTGAACACCAGGACAAAAGAAAGGGAAAGTCTCCAAACACCATCTCCAAGGAAGGAATGAGAGAGCAGCCCAGGAGGACGCAAGCCTTATGTGGCACTGAGTGCAGCGACTGCTGCAGGCTCTGCCCAGCACCGTTCTCATGGCACTCCACCTGCTCCTGGTCTCCAAAAGCCAGCTGTGCTGAAGATGCCCCTCCTGCTGCAGGCACACCTGAGAGGCTGATCTCATGCTCAAGGCAGAAGATGTCCAGCTCCAACACAGGAATATCAAAGCAGATCGCTTTGGCTTCTGCTGAAGCACTGAGGCATGAGAGCAGCTTGCCTAGCAAAGCAGTGTTTGCCATCCTGTGCTTATCAGGAGGAGTGAATGCAGGATCCCCAGCTGCCCTCATGTGTCAGCTCCTGTGACACACAGCCATGCAGCAGGGGGAGAAGCTGGCAGGCTTTCCCCCTCTATCAGCACTCATCTGATCTCCTTAATGAAAACAGAACAAATTTAACAGGCTTGGTGCAGAAATAACAATGCTTTTTAAATGCTTCCTGTTTTAGGTATTAGCAAATCCTGAGCAGCTCTTTAATAGCCCTTCTATGGCAGAAGATTTGGGTCGCTCTGGTGCCAACCAAGTGCTCCCCAGGGCAAGTCACAGCACGGCTCAGAGATAAGAGACAAATGAAGCAATCAGAGCAGCCTTGCACCATGTAGAAATAGTTCTGGTCCAGCATTTCTGCCTGCATTTCTATATCCTCCATGGCAGTAAGGATGATTAACAATAACGCATAACAATGCTGTACAGGCACTAAAACACATCGAGTTATTAATCAAAGATAAATGTGGGTTTTTTTCTCTCATACTGCAGTAGCACCTAAAGGAGAGTCACCCAGTGTCACTGTGTACCAGAGACCTCCAGGTGGGGGAGAATTCCTGCTGCTGTTGCCCTATGGAGAGCAAACAGACAGAGAAAGAGGCACCAAAGGTCACCTCGACTGGAGAAAGCAGGGCCCAGAGTGATGTGCTCCTGGGAGATGGGAGCTTTAGCAGGCAGAACACCCTCAGCTCAAAGCCACTGACTTCAACTGATGTTCACTGGCCCTGCTTGAGAGTTCATTCTCCGCTGCTCCCATTTTGCTATTCATATCTCACCGTAGGCTTTCCATAGGAAGGACTTCTGTGGATCTCAGATGTTAAAATTTATTTCTGAATTTATAGTAGTAATTTAATATATCCAGTTGGAGTTAACTGCAACATCCTCTTAGCCTATTAACTTTTATTTCTGGAGCTCCTGGGGCTCCTGCAAAGTAATTAGCAGAACTATGGCAACTGAGCGGATTATTTTATGTGCTGGGCACACAGCATTTATATTACTCTCATGCTTCTGGTTTCCATAGGAGGAAAAAGCATGAAAGTTTATTGTGGGAACTGCGAGAGATCCATCATTTAGAAATTAAAATGCACGGAATGCTGGACACCTGCTAGAGCACTGCTGCCTTAAAGCTGCAGGTTTCCCAAACCTCTCCCACCTCCAGCACAGCCCTTTTGAGCAGCAAAAATCCTTTAGCAACCGCAGGGGAACAATTAATGCAGCACAGGGCGTGTGTGCAAGAGAGATGCTTTCTCCCACAAGGTTCTAAAGTAAAAACGAGGAGATTGTGGGCCAGAGAAAGGCTACAGAACCTGGGAGGGCCTCGGTAAGCAGTCAGCCTGGAGACTGTTATTCCTTTTCCTAGCAGTGCCCTGCTGGAGCTTGCATGGGGCTGTGAAGGCTCAGCTGGTGGTCTGCTGGAAAAGCAGAGAACAAAGCCAGGCTTTCAAATGGCAGAGATTGTCGTGAAAAGCAGCA